CAAATGAGGAAGAGCTCTTTGCTCTTCCTGGAGATATAGCGGCCTACCGGCCTCCTGGGCGGTGACTTCCTAGGCCGAGCGGCCTCCCAGCAACCGGTACCTCCTCCCTTTCGGAGGGAAACATCATTGCAGGCTCTGCTATCCTCCCTACAGGCCCTAGACCCCGGCTACTTGGACTGGTACCGGCCTACCGCTATCCTACCGCTACTGGGCCTCTAAAAATGCCAACTTTTTGCCTTCTTCTGCTCGGCCTGCAGTACCCGACACCCCTATCACTACTTGAGTGGTACCGGCCTACCTGCTACTTGAGTGTTTTTCCCCGCTGTTCTAAGTGTTGCGGGTCTATCCCCGCTACTTGAGTGTTTTCCCCCTGCAACCCTCAAAGTCATGGCCACAGGTAAGTTCCGGCCCTGCGGGGCCCTTCAACCAACAAGTACCCTTGCGGATCATACACACACTCAACCGACAAGCACTCAGACAGGCATGCAAACCAGCAGGCACGCACACACACAGACATGGAAATCACAGCAGAATGCGGGAATTTCAGCAAGGCATTCATTTCAGCGGCAAATCCCAGAAATCAGCAGTGTTCTCAGTCTGTGTTTTTGGCGGGTCATTACAGAGGAAGGAACTTCCTTTTCGTCATCAAGCCGTGCAAGGTCGACATCCAGTGTAATCCTACCATAGCAGAAAGTGGGCAAGTGTCAAGGAAGGGAAGGGCGACGCACACAGAGCTGTCGAATTGAAACATTGAGTCACCTGAATGTGGTCGAGCAAGCGTTCCAGGAACAGAAGACAGGGAGCGTTCGCATTGAGTGAGAGCCGACAGTTATTAACTCCTACCTCACGGACGAATTCCATTCTATCCCCTCCTAGATCCACAACCCCACCCCTAACCATCTCCCCAACCTCCCATTCTATCCTTTCCCTCCCTCCTTCTATACCTGATCCCTCCCCGATTCCTCGTCTACTTCTTCCGATCCCGCCCCTCCTACCATCCTTCCATCATCTCTTGTACGTCCCCTTGTCCCCATCTCCGTTCCATCCGGATCCCTTTTTTGACCTGGTCCCACCGCAATCCCGATCCTGACTCCTTCGAGCCTGCTCTCACCTCATCCTCGATCCCGATCCCGACCCGATCCCACCCCGACCCCGTTCCCGATCCCGACCCGATCCCACCCCCGACCCCGAGCCCGATCCCGACCCGATCCCACCCTGACCCCGATCTGACGTCACCCCACCCTGACCCCGATCCGACAGCATCCCATCCCAACCCGACCTCGATCCGATGTCGTCCCATCCTAACCCAGATCCGACAACATCCTTCCCCAACCTCCCGTTCTATCCTTTCCCTCCCTCCTCCTACACCTGATCCCTCCCCGATTCCTCGTCTACTGTTTCCGACCACGACCGTCCTACCATCTTTCCATCATCTCTTGTACGTCCTCTTGTCCCCATCTCCGTTCCAGCCGGATCCCGTTTTCGACCTGGTCCCACCGCAATCCCGATCTTGATTCCTTTTTCGACCTGTCCCCATCTCCGTTCCAGCCGGATCCCGTTTTCGACCTGTCCCCATCTCCGTTCCAGCCGGATCCCGTTTTCGA